GCTGAGAGAACAAGTCATATATTATTGAACTGTCACACTGTGCCGTTTGCAAACAATGTGTAAAATACAAAAGCCATAAAAAGTTTCCCATAACAACTGTCATCACCATTAGGTTCCCCTTGAATCTGGTACTTAGGTGGGTGTCAGCTTGTCTAGTGTCATACGATTTAGAAAACACTTCGCCGTCAATGTTGAAATCTTGCAAATACAGGACGCAAAATACGGGTCAAAATTGCTGCATCATATACATTGCACCTGACATCCCAACGTCTTCAAAAAATGATGACAACGTCGCCGAAAATTCTCTTCCAGCTGAATGCCTTCAACTGCAGCACTCTTTAACGCCTAGTTATCATTATTGTTTAGGAAGAAAGCTACTCTCAACCTATGTATGTTCATGCTTTTAGGCTTAGTTAGGAATAATATCGAATCAATATGTCTGACATATAATTTTTGGAAACATTCTTAGCCGTCTTTCAAGGTTTGTCACATTATATTTCGATTGTCGCAACATTCTCGCACCGACCGTGAGAGCATTGGCATTTAGCTAATATCTCATTTGACATTTGCGTGCTATTCTTCATCTCTCTCTCTCCCTCTGAGATAAGGGGCGAGTGGCTAGAAAAGACACTGATGATGGCGAAACTACCGAAACGCGTATCGTCGGAAATGCGTTCAGAAACATTCTCAGGGACACATGAATGCTTTATCGAGGTTTCAAGAGGCAGTCGATCGAAAAAGGTATTATACCACAGTCTAACATGCTTGCTATAATTTAGTGGATTATTTTCGCTATCCGCTACTAATTGCTGCGCTCTTGGAGAAGTTTTTTCTCCTGTGGTTTTTTTTTTTCAAATCTGAGAAGTCATTCGCCAGTCTAAACCCTAGAAATTGAAAAACATGCTTTATTCCCTGAACGGCTTTTTTATTGCGCTGTAATATTAAAAATAAAATTATGTCACTCTTTCAAACACTCCTCGCTGTGAAAAGTCTTTCTTGAGTCTCTACGTAAATATTCGACAGCTCAAATCTTGTGAATTTCCACTGACGTGTTAGGTTTAAAAAAGAGATTCTTATGGCTCTCTAACAGTCAAAAGAATATTGAATTTCTCGAGTTCAGAGTAATTTCGTCATCCACACCTTTTTTCGACCCCTAGTGCCTTTTGCTTTCTTTTGAATTAACAATTATCTAATAGCTCAAATCTCAAAAATTCGCACTGTATCGTTATCAAAACGGCCCACTTATTGCGCTGTGACAGTAAAAAAAAGTTTCTCATTCGAACATTTCTCGCTAAAACTCTCCTCTAGACTTTAAGCAGTCGCTCTATAGCTTAACTTTGTCAATTACAAAACTGTGTTTAGGTTTAGGAAGAACTCTCTAGTGAGCTGTGGCAGCCGAAGGACTGTTACGTTTCACGAGTGCATCATAGCCGCTAAGTCACCACTCCTTTTCTGGTCCCAATTTGCGAAAGCCAATCTTTTTTTACCTGTCACAGCCTAATAAGAAGTGTCTTTCAAAAACCATATTTACCGTCGTAATTTACAAGAACTGAGCTATCAGATGGTTACGGAAAATCCAAAGAAAAGGCTTCGCACTGCGAGAAGAGTTTGAACGAGAACCACAATATTACTTTTACTGTAACCGTGTAATAAAAGAGCCGCCTCAAAAATAAGATACATTCCCAATTTTCCTGAAAATTTAAGCTATCAAATGACTACCAGTCTTCAAAACCACCGAGAAATAACTTTCAACGGGCCCTGCAACTGGGACTCGGTAGCCAAAAAGTCCCAATTCTACCACGCATGTTAACAAGATAAATGTCTATATGACTCCGACACAGAAATTAGCCAATAAGTGTGGTGTATGGGTGATGGTGGGAAGAAAAGAAGGGATGAAAATTATATTACGATTAAAATAAATGATAGAGAAATGACCATTAATTTTTCTATCCTTGAACTTTGTGTTTTAAGAACTAATGTCCGAAAATCAAACTTCAGAGAATCTGTCATTGAAGCGTTCTTCACGGCTATTGACGAAGACGACATCGGTAGACATTTGAGTGTAAGAAGAGAAAATCGTAATGTTTGTGACAACCAGCCTCGACATCAAATGACTACTTTATCATCGTTTCGTGATGAGCAGACATGAGGTTGTTCATACCAGTATACATTGATACTAATACACTGGTTGACGCTCCGGTGATCCTGTATTCTTCACTGTCTGGAAATCAAAATGATTTGCAAGTCACGCAGATCTCTCATAAACTCAGCAGTAGAACTTATTTAACAAATCTTTGGGACCGAATAGTAGAAAGCTTCTTATTGAAACATTCATTACCTATTGTTCTAAAGTCCTCCTGCTATATACCGGAGACAAGCAGCTTAGAGTTTTTCATTGACTAAGAATGTATTTGGCCCAGGTTAAAAAAATTAGCACACGGTATGAAGTTAGGTCACGCATTGTCACGAAACACTCCTTCTAGCTCGTTGTTGTATCTCGAACTGAATTACTAATAGAACCGACTTTCTATTAACCTCGGCAGCAAAAAAAAAACCATATCCTCGCATTCATTGCTTGTGCGACAATTCCACATTCACTATGAACGTCGTAGAGTATTGTAGAGAAGAACTTTGATCTTCTTGCATTTCGCAAATAACTATGTTGGGGCGTCCCGTGGAGTGTTCATAATTAATTGCCGAAAAGAATTGAAGAGGGAGATTTACCTTGCACAAAGTATCACTTGTTACTTGACCACCTCCTCTTCTTTACCTCGACATTAATTTTATAATTTAGTACTACTTTTAGGGTCGCTATGGCCGAGTGAATTTGATGTTCGTCGCGGTTTATGCGGAGCCGAAACTCCGTGCCCCAAGTTCCTCCGGCAGTCAACAGCAGCGTCCCATGGAGTGCCACAGCAGGCCATCTTCAAATACTCGCTCCATCAGTGAAACCGCAGAGTGAAAATAACACTTAGAAGATGGATCAATAAAGTAAAGTAAATTACTGCTTCTTATTGAGTAACTCTGAGATTGTCATTAATAGCATTTACTGACCAAAATATCAAAGCACAACTGTAACGTAAGGCTGACATCTCAGCGGTTTTGCTCAGTAGAGTCTTGAGGAGTCAAACTGACTATCAGTGTACTCATTTAGTAATTTATGCTCCTATCCAATAACAAGTGGTGGACCGTAGAACAACAAAACGGTGAGTATTGAACAGAAGCTATTTAACATACGGTTATACGTCTATGTATTTTGCATTATCCGCTTTGTTTGTGAGGGTGCTTGGCTAGATTGATGGATCGCCTGCTAATTTGACTCTGCCACGCTCTAAAGAAGGTGAAACCGCAGAAACGTCGGCCATTATTTTGATATATTCGATTGCACACAACAAATGATAGCGTTAAAAACTTTGCAGATGCAATCGAAGAGAAATACCGAATTATAAGGATCATCGACTCAACAAATTACCCCTGACGATGCTCCTTCGATAGCGGCTGGAACATAGGAGGTTTGGTGACACCGCGGACTTGAGGCAAAATAGGATTAATAATCATATGTCTATTCGATGGAACCTCTGTCCAATACACTATACTTGTACGCAATCAACATTTCCAATTTCACGGCGCCCTCATTAGGAACCACAATTTTTCCCTGCGATAATGCTATAAAAATTCGGAGTGCTTTCACAGGAAACGATTTCTCCTGAACATATTGAGAACTGCTGGACCATGCGGTGGCTCGGCAGCGTGTAGTCTGTAGTGCGATTGCCTGGTGCTGGCACCCATTCGGAAAAAAGTTGCTGGTTCGGCCCCATAACACGACGTCCCACTGTAGTTCATTTGATGTTATCTTGTTGATTCCAAAACAGTATGCTCGAATTACTGACATATCACATCAGACGCGCCGAAACGATAGCCATCGAGTTTTGAAGAGATATGCCAACCTAACACAAGCTTTTATAGAGAAAATTGTTGTGTGAAAGTCCATTTCTTATCAGTTGTTAATCTCTCAACATCATTTCCAAAGAGAAAAGACGTACCAGTTCTTCTCTATCAGGTTCGTGTTTTAGCTTTTGAAGGAGGTAGGAAGCCACTTGCATAAAATGGCTCGAAAGTAGCCTCCTATGAATGAGTGTGTATTTATGTATGTTAATCAGATTCTGTGCTTAAAATAACTAAGAGCGCTTAATGACCTCATTCACAAGACTACAAATGTCAATGATAAAAACTTATAACATATTATATAAAGCACAAATATTATGTATGGTGCATAGATTAATAATACCTATACATGTATGTCTGCATTTACAAAGAGGCGGGAGAGCTGTCATATCTCTAGAGTAGGAAAACTAGTACCGAACTTGTTTGGAATGAGTTGCTTCTTTGCGATTTACATGGAAATACTCTAGCACCGCTATTTCAGGACTCCAACAAAGATCGACTGCCCCTACATTCAGCGCCGTTTATGAAAAGACAAGAATCTCTGAGTTACAGGCGAAACCACGCACGAAGAGTTCAACGACATCTATATGCTGGGATCCGCACAGTAAATGTGGAGATCAGTCGTGCAAAGAAATAAGAATCCTTTGAGTTTACTAAGGAGTAAGCAGTGAATATCTAACTGCTAACAGACAAGTGGCTGGTTCATAGAAAATCGAGCATATTTTTGTTTTTTATAGACTTCTTCTATTCAGCAGTGAAATCAACTTTTCAGTAAATGAAGTTTTTTTGAAAAAAATTCTCTACAGTAATCTTTTTGATTAGGAGAAAACAAATGAAAAACCGACATTTTTTCGAAAGAGGGAAACTTTCACAGGGGTGTTGATGCCATGGAAAACTGAAACTTGTGGCTAAAGCATCACATTGCCGGTTTTCCAAAACACCCTCTTATGACGCACTGATCTCTATACAATGCTAGCGTATAATTATCGAATGACAAAGCTCTTTATTTGAACTATTAGTGACCTCAGTAATGTAGAATGGTGTGCAAGAACATTGGCGTCAGCTGGGATTCAAACCCAGATCTCACTCCTTACTGGAGCGTGTACTGAACCGTTGCACCACCAACGCTCGTTTCGCACTCCACTCTTTTTACGCTACAACGTGTTATCTGTTGAGAGCCAGCTGTCTACGGTGTGACGGAGCAGTCACTGTTGACATTGAAAACACTTGAGCTGACAGATATTGGGTTTCAATAATCAATCGGAATTCATTTTATTATTGGAACTCTTGGCAGCCATAAGACAGCGTAGTGCTTCCTGATGCCAATATTGTGTTTATATCTTGAAAAGGCTGCTTCTCAGCAGCGCAGCAGGTGCAATAATTTGAATTTGACGGGTGAGAATGGCGATCTAAAGGCTATTCACGCGCGGTGGATGTGGCGGCCACATGACAAAACAAACAATACTTCTCTGCGTGTTCATAGGACCGTTCACTGGCCGCTGCAGCCGGTGCAGACGTGATAAGCGAGAAACGCTGTCGCTCTCACATGGAAATTTGACCTGTTACCAGCTGCGTTGCAGCATATTGTACTTGTCGCGTTACCAGAAACGCTCGCTTGAGGTCATAAGCATAGCGTTGGAAATGAATTTGATTATGCTATCGAATGTTTACTAATAGTCGGAAGAAAGGACTCTGCGCGGCGAGAAATATGCGTGTCTGAAGTCAAGATATCTAACTTGTAGCAAAGTCAAAAAATCTTTGTCGAAAACCGGCGGCGCGGAGCTGTAGCCTTGAGTCTTTCCTTCCAGAAAATTACTAACACTTCTATGCAAAATTCCTCTGCAGCGAATGGGATCGATTTTGTCTGTCCCGCCTAATCAGAAAGATCCTAATATGCTTACAGGACACAGGAAATTTTGGAACGTTCATGAGCCGCTCTACTTCTCTGGTGAAGTACTTTGTTAATATTTGATAAGACATAAATGAAAGGATAAGCTCTCAGCGTTGATCAGTCCCTGAGGGAGGCGCCATGAATTCGTCTCCAATTTTTAACTTAGTATGAGGTGATTGAATGCATATCTGGCCTTTACAATGACTCGCGGTGACCTCCCGCTAAGCCGAGTCAGTGCTGCTTATCCTCCCAGACAAGTCTGAGACGAGTCTGGTACAAGTTCACCGACCGCGCGAGGATGGATGTCTTGTGAGCCATGAATGCGGGATTGAAACAATGATAAGCCATAATGGATGGAAATAATCAGCTCAGCGGATAAATGATTAGTGGATTTACCGAAAATACTGGTAGGGATACTATTATCATACTACAAAATTGGCACGTGGAAAATATTATCCACAAAAACATACCGTTCTTTTTGAATTTCAACATATCTCATAATTGTTATCTGAGTCAACTTGTCATGTGGTCTGTTGAATGGGCTCTTGTACAGCACGGCATACATGTTTCGACCCTGACAGTCTCATCAGTCGGACAAAACCCTTCGTCTTTAGCCAATCCTCTGTGGGTGCTCTAGTCCCTACACTAAGAGTAGGCGACGACGAACGATTTACACTGCACTGCTGTCAAGTAAATATCACTAGAACACCAGTAGAGCATTGGCTAAAAGACGAACGGTTCTGTCCGACTGACAAGACTAGGTCGAAACGCGTGTATCGGGATGCACAAACACTCATTTGGCAAACCACATGACAAGTTGGCTCAGGTAGCAATTATGAGGTATCCACAGAATTGTAGATACTCAAGATCGCCACTTGCAGTGGTGAATATAAAATCTCTTTAAGTCGAATTATTTTCTCCCACATTTTATTGCAGCAGCTGGATTAAGTGCATGGCAAAGATGTGAGTCTTATGTGTTCATCTTCTTTCCAGCCTCTTATATTATTGTACAGAGTTTTGCAAAATGCAGAGTAATGCTGATTGAATCACTTCTTCTCAATGGCAAGTCGCTTTATAGGTGGGACTTTTAGGCAACTTCAAAAAAGCCTTACGTCTTTTTGCGCCAATATCGTAGTTGCCTACTGAAACAGTGCCCTATCTCCAGCTTTTCTTGAACCAGTGGAGTAAAACACGTCAGTACGTATCTCGATATTCCAGATCATGGATCGCTTTCGATTTACATAGTGAGAACGAAGCGTTATCAAATCAGAATGGAGGTGTATTCAAATCAGATAATAGAGCTAGGTTGTACCAACCGTTCATGTAGTGGTTCAACAGCTCAATTGACATGCGGCTGATGAGCCACTAATACGTTGGTTCAATGATCTTGATCGGTACAGTTGATGTGTTTGTGTGTAGTGATGCAGCCGACGAATCGATTGAGTTGGGACTTTGTAGCTTGTCGGTAGTGGTGTAGCGTTAGGCCTTGTATGTAGATGACGTGTGTCGAAGGACGTTTCCGTGATCTGCCCCTTATTTCAACTTTTTGAAAAAAATACACCTTTCGATTTTTGAGATCCAACATTTATCTAGTAGCTCAAATCTCACTGATTTCAACGGTGTATTCTATTATCAAGATAGCTCGATCATTGCGGTGTAACACCAAGAATAAAATTATGTTCTTCATTTGAACATTTTTCGCTGAAAATAGCTTTTCCTCTGACATTTAGTAACCATTCGATAGCGTAGAGTTCGTCGAATCAGTGATGTATGTGGTTTGCGAGAAGGACTTCCCTGCGTTCTGTAGTAGTCAAAAGATTATTGAGGTGCGCGCAGCGTGACATTGGCATCAAGCCACTACTTCGACGGGATTCCGCAAATTGCCACTGAGCCACATAGCTTTTCCGGTGTCAAAATTGCTAAACCCAACCCGGCTTTGAATATTACAGGTCACAAAAAAGCCTTTCCAAAGACTAAACACGTGACAATAATTAAGCACTGAAAGCTATTGATAAAAACGTACTCGTCTTTGGTTTGTGCCGTGAGCTTTTTTAGGTGCCGAGGCCAACCCTTTTATATACGACGTACTTGCGTGCATCGTATTTGTAGAAAATTTGGCGTTAGACCTGAAAAATCGGTTTGGACTAATTTTGCAGAGCATTAGATGAAGTGAAGGTATTGAATAGTGCTAAGTTTAGTCAGATTTGTAAAAAATTCGATTTTATTCCCTGGTATTCTGTCTTGTTTCCTCGACCTCCTGAATGTCTTTTTCCTGTCGCTGTAACTGTTTTTAATTACGGTACACATTTTGTACAATGGGCGATTTGAATAGGGACCAATATCAACTCTATAGGAGAAGTTTTCTGTCTATTGCTGTGCTTATTTGGTTCATAGAACTCCCTTTTGAGATATCTGTATATGTTCGATGTGTCATTTGAGGCAGATACAGAGGCACACAGTAACGTCAAACTGATTCATTGATTGTTCATTTGGCAGACAATTTAATGTTATATCACTTCTAGTCGCTGCGGCGAACGATAATTATCGTGCTATATTCGCACATATAGAATGATATCAGTATAGAAGTAGTGTATAGCTACAAAACACTTGCAGATGCTGACAGCTATGTTGCCTGTACGAAGGGCCCTAATAGCATATAGTGAATAAGAGGGTCTATACTGTTTAGCCCACAAAGCGGCAAAGCAAAACTTGTTCTCGAATCCTGTACTATTCATATGCACTAAAGTCCTCTGTCCGTTGAATAACTATCACCATTCTAGATAAATCTAGTACATCCAAACGACTGCAAAATGGGTGTTGACCCACACTGTAGGGAAGCTAAATAAGTGGGCCAAAAGCCTCAGACCGCTCCCAATTCCCAACATTCGAGGTCTCGTTGGCTTTTGTCAACAAGCATTCACATGTCAACGAGGTTGGAGAACTTGAGAGAAATCAAAAATGGCAAGATTAGTGGGACCGCTCTCTCGTCCTTCCGTAACTATGTATGAAATGTATGTTAATTCACGAAATATTACTAAGTCCCACCATGCAAAGGCAATGTTTTCAATAACTGGAATTACTTGGCAGAATAGATTTGTCTTTTTCTTTTTTTTATGTACTCACCTATCGCATACGATGAATATGATTGACCATATGAGTCGCAAAAGGGATAGCGAGCAAATATCATTCAAACTACTTTTCACTGTATCCGTAAAAAGCACGTTTGCATGCTTTCTAAAATAAAATGAACATCTTGCCGTCATAATATCTGTGTTGGACCAGTGTGAAGAAGGGATGGGGCACGCCAGTAAACCGCCAGAAATTGATGATTGATCACCTATTTCGAGGTTATCACGGTCAGTCCAAGGATGTGTTTAGACGTGTACTTTTAAGTCTTTCGCTGTGCGTCATACCATGGAAGACCTGCACTGTAAAGAAGGTTAATCAACTCAGAAAATCAGCAATCGTTTTTGTCGTTCTCTTTGGAACAATTTCCTTAGTGAACCTTGTGACATTTTTGTACATGCTCTGCAGCTCCAGGCTCCACATAAGCTTTTTGCTACACTTTACAGTAGCATAAAGGCTTTGGAAAGTCTTCCATGTGTGCTCGAATAAAATGGTCAACCAACACAACCCTTCAAAAGATTCATGCACACGCATAGCGCAAATTAAAAGGACAGAATTAAGGAACATAACATGAGATAAAAGCACTACCAACTGGTAAGTCTGGACGGTCTGCTCCACTCTCTCTCGACTGCATTTTCATTTTTTCTAGCGTTCAATAATTATTCGATTGCTCATACAAAAGGCTGTAAATGGCGTGGTTTAGTTTTATAATAGCACTACTTTTCCGTTATAAGGGCAAAAATAAAATTATGTATCTCAGTCAAATAATTTCTTCTTGAATAATGCTTTTTTCAGACTTCAAACAATCATTCGATAGTTTGATTTTCGAGTAATCCATTTATTTGGCTTATGCATGGAGCATTTTATTATGTTGTAACAGCCAAAGAAGAATGAGATTAGCCAATTTCGATCATATCCATTATCCGCACCTTCTTCAACCCCTTTAGAAAAACTCCTCTTTTCATGTCTTTTCTTTTAGAGTTTCAACAGTTACCTAATAGGCAAATCTCAGAAATTTCAACGGTATATTTAGTTTGCAAAATGGCTTTAGTATTACGCTATAAAAGCGAAAATAAATAATAATTCTCATTCATACAGTACTCAATGAGCA